TAAGAAAATTATAATTGTTAGCTTAATTAAAAAAGTGCCAGATTTTTAATAATATCAAATAAGAAAATTCTAATAAAATAATATAATGAAATTCTTAACAAAAATTAGGAATAAATTTATTTGTTAATATTTTGACTTATTTTTTATATTTATCTGATATAAAAAATTTTCAAATGACCTGAAATTTTTATTGGAAAAATATTAAGTCAAGCATTTTATTTTATTCAAAAATAAAATTATAAGCGAAAAATTTTGATATTTCAAATATACTAGTGTTATTTATAAAGTATACAGTCGAGTCTCTCTATAACGAACCTCTTTATGACGAACTCTGGATATAACGAACCTTAGTTCATTATAGAAAAAGTAGCGAGCTCTATACAAAACATAGTATTTTATATAACAGACTTTTCCAACAGAACAGAGTACGTATAGACTAAACAAATACATGTACAAATTATTTAGTTTGATTTTTCTTTTTCTTAAAAATTTTTTTTTTAATAATTTCAAACTGCAAAAATCCAATTATACGTATACCAGTCAGTCCAGTGACACCAAAAAAAATCGCGTGTTCAAACCAACATCTTTGCGAATCCCAAGTAACAGGTGGGGTAACACGCAAAGACCGTTGGTTGTGTGACCACAGCCCCGACGGTAATTGAGACCCAGGGCGACTAATTGATAACGGAAATAATAATTTTCAAAATAAAAAATTCTTGTTCGGCGCCCCCCCCGCTGTAGATAAAGTATTACATGCTTAAAAGTTTCACATACATTTGCTCTTCTGAGCAACGAATTCCACAGCGATGGATAATATAGCCGGGGGGGATGATTTATTTAGCTACATGCTTTCGCTACTATGCAGTTTATAACAACTCGATAAATTCTATTTTTTGGATCAATTTATAAAAGATGTTGTGTTGATAGCCACCGCCGATGCCGAGCTTTTTCGTTTATTAATTTTTTTATACACATGAATAGCAATGAATTGTAGACTATCCAGAAAGAAACAAAGGGTGCGTGTGTATATTAACCTTAAAAGAGAAGAGAAAAAAACTATTAGTCGAACAGAAAATGGATTAAATAAAAAATGAGATCGCGATCATTTCTAATTATGTTTTCTACGATATAAACAATCTATAATCATTATTGGAACGTTAGGCTCATGTAATAAAATAATCTTGAATAATAATTATTGTGATCTAAAAACTACCAAAGTTAATAATATACAAATAGATTAACAAATGAATACTAAAAAAAATAGAATACTCACTTTTAAACACATTTTTCAAAGTCTCCATTGATTCTCCATCGTTACTATTAATAGCTTTACGAAGCCATCGGATAGTCTGATGTAAATCTTTTTCAGCTGCCTCGCCGAAACAATAACAATACGCCAGATCATTCTGCGCGATACTTGATCCTAGCATAGCTGCATCATACCAAAACTTGAATGCTTTTAATTTGTCCTCCGTTATGCCAACACCAGTCATATAACAATAACCAAGACGACATTTTGAGTCTAAATGTCCTCGATCAGAAGCTTCTTTGAAGTATCTGAAACCTAGTTCGGGATCGAAAGAAGTACCAATTTCTTGCATATAACAATTTGCGAGCATAAATTTTGCTTCTAAATCTCCACCTCGATTCGACTGCTGAAACCAGAAAACTGCTTTTCCATCATTTCTTTCTACGCCCATTCCATAAAGATAACATTCGGCCAGATTATATTGAGCATTAGATGCACCTGCTTTTGCAGATTTTTCGTACCAATGGAAAGCTTTTTCGACATTTATTTGGGTTCCAATTCCTTCACGATAGCATGCCCCGAGATTACGTTGAGCTCTTGGATTTCCTGCAAGCGCTGATTTCTCGTAATACTCGAAGGCTTTTTTTTCATCCGTCTTTATTCCGATTCCGTAATCGTAACAATAACCGACATTGCACATTGCCCTTGAACATCCTGCTATTGATGCTTTTTCATAAAGTTTAAATGCTCTCACATAATCTTGTTCAACTCCTTTTCCGTAAAGATAACAATTTCCCAAAGTTACTTGTCCATATGTATCACCTGTCTCTTCGGTCAAGCGATAACAAGCAGCTGCTTTGTCTATATTTCGATCAGTTCCAATTCCATATTGATAAAATACACCCATAATTAAAGCATTCTGCGTTCGATATTCCTCGGTATCAAGTAATTCACAGACCTTTGCCGGATCGTGATTTCTTTCTTTGATAAATTCAGTTAGCATTGGGATTGTGTTTTCTGATTCACCGCGTATAACGGCTTGTTCAAATTCTTTTCGCAAACCATTGAAAAAATTTTCCCATTCCTCAGACTTATTAACATATTCTTCTTTCTTAT